GAGCCTTAAGACCTACATTCTAGTCTCCTTGGGTGGAAAGGTACTCTGCAGGATTCCAAAACAGAAATGTGGACACCAACCATGTCACAAAACCTTTGACCTACAACCTGCCCTGCCTCCAAAATATGCTAGGGAAGGGTGGCACAGACTGTCTGTGAATAGCCAATCAACATCTGATTTGACTTAAGGTCCACTCCATGACAAAGAACACACACCTGAAACTGATGACCCTGCTTAGGAAACCAAGAACCAAAGCCTAGACAGCCCACAATCTTAAGAAAAAAACCCAAACACTATGGGTCTAAAAAAATCATTAAAATGGTCCCTCATAATATTGTTATATTCTTAATTCAGTGCCTGATCCAGGCATTACAGGAGAGGGTTCCTCCAACAGCAGATGGAGAAAGATGGAGAGACTCACACCCAAACATTATGCTGAGAGAGAGTCTACATTGGAGGTCTCCATCAACTCCGTCACCTCAGAGCTCAAGGTATCCTGTGGAAGAGAAGACATAAATGTTGTTAAGAGTCAGAGAGCATGAAGAACAACTGGAGAACAAGACCCTCTGAATCAACTAAGTAAGGGGCACATGAACATATATATATATATATATATATATATATATATATATATATATCATATTGCTTTTATGGGAACCCTGAATACATAAATGAGTGGGTATCAGTACCTTTACCTTCTCTGGGAGCTCTTTTAGTTATCTAGTGGCTTTGTTGTGTCTATTCTATGAGAAAATCTATTTTCAATAAAAAAATACTCTTAAAAACAGATACAAGAGATCTGTGGAGTCTCCAATTTTAATGACCCTTAATGCTAGTTACAAACTTCTGAAGTCTCCCAAGATATTAGCATTTCAAGAAAAGCTGTCAGGTCTCTCTGAATCCAGATAGTGCAATATAACAGCCTTTTGCCCCCTCCCGAAGAGCTGGCATGGGACTTGTGTGGCTCTCCTTGTGACACCCTGTGTACTCTAAGGGCTCACAGAAAAGTTTCTTCCCAACTCCTTATAATTGCTTCTGTGATTTGCTGTCTTAATCTGGACTTTTTTCTCTCACAGGTAAGTGGATCAAGGTTGTCAGAAAGGTACTCTTAAACCCCCATGCAGATGCTGTTATGGATCTAGAGCTGAAAGTCACAGGTCCTGTGGGGAAGAAGACTAGGGAATTATAAGCCAGTACGTGAGGGAACAGAGTCTCCTCAAGAAGACAGACTCAATCGCTCACTACAGCATTCTTCCTCTGTGGTTACACAGAGCACACTGTAAGTACATTTTCTTTTTATACCAAGTCACAGGTGACCAGAAAATCTCCAGACAGATGGGAGTAAGGGAAAGTCAGTATTGCTTAGTACTGAAGTAAGATCCTGAAAAGGGTTTCACATGAAATGGGAGCTATTTCCTCCTGGCAAAGGATGGACTGTCTCTTGCCTTTACCCCTCTGTGCAAAGTGATGCCTCCCACAAGCTCCAAGGGATCCCTTCCTAACTTGTGACACACAAACCCTTCTCATTTCTATATGTAATATTAATTAAATATACAAGCATATGAATACATGCAGTTAGATAAATTATAGATACTGAGATAGATAGATAGATAGATAGATAGATAGATAGACAGATATGAGTATGATAGATGATAAATAGAGAGAGAGAATGTAGTGTGTATACATGCTGTAGGTGCAAAGGCATGCCTGCTGACCAAAGGAGTTGTTGGATGTCCTTCTGTGTCTCTCTCTGCCTTATATCTTTAAACAAGGTCTCTGCCTGAATCTTCAGATTGCTTGGGTTTTTCCTAAGCTGTTAGCCAACAATCCTGGGAAATAACATGCAGCCTATGTGATCTGAACACAGGTCCAGACACTGGAGATACACACTCTTGTGCTATCTATCCCACCCCCATATCATCCGTTTTGGAGGCTAACTTGTGCTCTTTTTCATCTATTCTGTTGGCTAAATGCTAGTAATCCTTCTTTTAAGATTTACATTTATTGTTTTAAATTGTGTGTGTGTGTGTGTGTGTGTGTGTGTGTGTGTGTGTGTGTATTCGCACATGCGTGTATGTGGGAGCCAGCAGTGTCCAGAAGTATGACATTTTCCCTGGATCTGGGAGTTCCTGGTACTGTGAGCCGATCTGGATGCTACACGAAGAACCCAGATCCCCTGTAAGATCAGCAAGTGCTTTTCATTACTGACCCATGTCTCCAGTCCCCAAAGTTGTTAATCCTAAAATCACAGGCAGATATGTATGTCAATAATGACTTGTTAAAGGGGATATCATTGCCATAAATAAATAAAACACTTTAAATTAGAGTCTTTCGTGTGATTGAATGGACACAATGTATATATTGTGCAGCATGGCTCACACACAGTGTGACTGCTGGCCATTCCTTCTCTTTGCAGACTCAATCAGAATTCCAGTGTAAGATAACACAGCAACAGAGATGTCTTCCAGTTACTTATGCAAAAGGTTGAGACAATCTGTTTGGTTTCTAAATATTTCATTTTCTCTTTAAATACTCCATTTCCTGTTCTTTTGGATTAATTGAATATTATTATAGACTAGTGAAATGACTGGACCTGAAAATGGTGTTCATCAAAAAATCTGACTCATTGGAGCTGCATTGTTTGAATACAGTGTCTATTATCTTACCTGATTTTTCCAACATTGTTCAACAGCCTGACAGATTTACCCCGTGAACCAGTATATTTTGTATCATTCCCTTGTGCTTGTCTGATTTCATGCATGTGTGCTATGTTAAGTCACTCTTGGTCTACACAATGTATTTGATTGCATTCTTGCTACCTCATAACAGTTCTTTACCACAGAAGTTCTATTGAGCAAGTATGTGACAACATAAACTTCCGGAAGTAGAAGAAAGACAGAGTAAGAACTGCTAGGGGTGTCTTCTTATACCAGGAACAGCAGGAACATTTCCTCTACTGGAATCCTCTTCATGATAGGTGATGCCTTTGAGATATTCTGCCATCGCCTTGTACAACTCTGTGTGGTTCACTTTCTATTGATTCTGTCCTATCTCCCCCCTGAAATTAGCATATAAGATGCTGAACTTTTTAATAAGCTTGCTTGGCATAAGACACAGCTTGCACAAGACCTCCTAAGCCCACCTGTTCTACCTTCTTTATGTCTTATTCCCTAAACTTTCCTCCTCAGGACCCAGTCAAGAAACAACACCTGCTGACTCAGGTCAGAGATTTTCCTTGGATTGGCCTTTCAAGATGTTTTCTTGACACAAACTGACTCTCATAATCTTGATATAGCCCTCTCCCTCCACCCCTTTATTCCACTCTTTCTTTGTTGACTATTTCAGCTAGCTCCTCAAAGACAGAGTTGTACAGGCACTGATAAAGTTTCAAACCCTAACCTTTGTGGGACAGCTACTAACTCTGTCTCTTTAACTGACGGTTAGCTATGTCTTGCTAACATTTCATGTTGTTTCTTTACATTGCGAAGACACTAACATTATAATGTGTACCACCAGGTCATTGTCATAACTCTGCATGACACTGGGCATCTGATGACACTGTCTGGAATATGGTTAATGTTGTCTGGCTAGGTGGCCCTTATAAACATCAAAATTAGGGTATGCTGGAAAGCATCAGAGACATATGGGAGGAAAAATCTTTTGCACCATTATTATACTACGAAATATAAACATAAAGGACAATTTCTTTTTAAAAAGCAATGAAATTAAGACTTTTAAAGAAATGCAAATTTTTTTCTTTACTCTCACAAATGGTAAAGCACGACATGTTGAAACATGGTATTGTATCTTGATGGATCAGGTAGCTTGAGATAAGACAGACATTTGGTCTTATTGATTTCTTTTTCCAGTGAAAATTCCATCTAGGTTTGTACAGATATGTGTTCAATTGTCATGTGTGAGACACATCAGTAGGAAGTGTGGATGAACACTTGTGTCACCGATTTTGAGAAGGATTCAGGAGTACGTTTGGAATTCCCCAAATTTATTGTCATTGCCAAAATACAGGGTTTCAGCTACTCTCAAAGGAAATCTCCTACCAAGAGCTGCTATTACTTAGATACGTCCAGACTACACATACAGCAACATTCTTTATGGTTTTACACCAGCAGAAAGAAAACTAGTTGATTGTTGTGATCTGTCAGTCGTTCACTACTAACTACCATAAGCCTGTATCATTTGCACAGGACCATCATCACTGTAGGACTTCACTGATGTAAGGGAAAGCTTCCTTCAAGCGTTAACCAATGTGGACATGCCACATTCTAAATGCCATGTTCCACCATTATATATATATATATTATGGATAATATTAATGTAATATAAATAATATAGCATCAATATAATAAACTATAATTATATACAGCACACAATAATTATATAATTAGAAATGCACTCTTTATTTTAATATTTTACATTTACATATATGATGTATTATATGTGATATATTATATTATAATATAATATTCCATATGTAATTTTTATATTTACATATATAATAATCTATAAGCTAAGGCCTGCAAATGAGAGAAATCATGTAGTATTTAGCAATCTCATTGATATTGTGAGAGATGCACAAGCATCTCTTCAGAGAATAATCTTCAATAATGAGACATGCAAAGACAGTAAAAAAGAATGTATATGTGCATATATATATATATATGTATATATATATGATACATTTTTATTTATGGTAAGAAGTTTGAAAACCTGAGGCTACTTTATGTATATATATATGATACATTTTTATTTATGGTAAGAAGTTTGAAAATCTGAGGCTACTTAAGGGTCATTTTCATTACATTTTGTTGTCTATCTATCAATAGTGTGACTGATATCAAGATAAATGTACATGAATGGCAAATAATCATTCTAGAGATTTTCAGTGGGGAAAACTTATTAAGAAGTGATGGTGAGGTAGTGACACAATTTGAGCTCCTTAAAATTAATACACACTTCAATGTTTTCTTCCTGAAGAATTGATGATGTCAATTTTGTCTGTTTCAGGTAAAAAGATCATGGCTATTGAGAACTTGCCAATGGGGATTTTGTTCTTCTCTCAAACAACTGTTGGGATTCTTGGCAATTGGTCAGTTCTTCTTCCCTATGTCATGCCTGTACTCACTGGAAAAAATCTGATGCCCAAAGACCAGATTTTAAGGCATCTGTCTTTTGCCAATTCTTTGGTTATTATCTCAAGAGTAATTCCTCACATACTGGCACAGCTGGGCTTGCACAATCTCCTGGATGACCTTTTATGTAAACTGACTCTCTACAGTAACCGAGTGTCCAGGGGCATTTCCCTGCACTGCACCTGCCTCTTGAGTTGCTTCCAGGCAATCACAATCAGCCCCAGCAACTCCAGGTGCATGAAGCTTAAACACACAATCTCCAAGTACATGGTTCAGTCCTGCTCACTCAGCTGGCTTGTGCATCTGCTTCTAAACAGCAAAACAGCTATAGATGTGGTTGGATCTGGTACTAACAAAAACTTTACCATGAAAATCAAGTTGGGGTACTGCTCAGCGTTTCTTTATCACAATGCTGCAACTGTACTACATCTGATATTGATTCGTTTCACTGATGGGCTGTGTTTGGGTCTCATGGTCTGGACCAGTGTCTTCATGGTAGGCATCCTCTACAGGCACAGGAGTCAGCTACAGTACATCCACAGTGCCCAGCATTCCCTCAGAGTCTCCCCTGAAGACAGAGCCGCAAAAACCATCTTGATTCTTGTGTGCACCTTTGTCCTCTCCTACTCAATGTCTTTTATATTAGTTCTCTACACCACATTATTTAACAACCCAAAGCTGTGGGTAATCAGCATATTTACTTTCCTGGACACATGCTTCCCCACATTTTGCCCATTTATCCTCATCAGTAATAAGCAATCTGCTCCCAAGAGTCATTTTTCCTGCTGTAGGTGAAGGTGCATTAACTTGATGACTTGCATATAATGATAAATTCAGATATTCTTTCATTCATTATTGATTTCAGACAACTCATGACTGAGTGTGATTAAGAACGTCAGTGACTGGAAATTAAGCATTAACACTTGTTACAGCTATTTGGAGGCTGGCTAAATGGTTCCATGTGATTAAAGATACCTCTTTGTTTTCATTCCAAAAGCTACAGAATAAGGAACCATCATTCTGTGTAGCATTGTCACCTCCTCTGCAGTTGTGTGTACCCTGGCATTCTGCATGACAGTGTGTGACAGTCCATGGTTTTGGAGATTAAGCTCTAAATTTCAACAGACATGTCTCCATACGTTATACCATTGTACTAATCACTGTTGCCAACTTTGTCTCCACACTGTCTTCTGTCTGCCATGGAAAAGGTCATTTTCTATATATCAATGTGTTACAAGTTGTTTATTTCTGTTCATGAATATATGCAGATATTCCTTTATTATTTGTGCAAGTCTAAGCCTCATCATGGACCACACTATATTAGGTAACGTGATGCTTAACGGTGACACACAACTCAATAGGGTCTGGAATGACCTAGGAAACAAATATCTGGACACTTCTTTGAGGGATTTTCTAAGTTGGGAGTTTGGAGGTAGATCTAGTTCTGAAAGTTGTTTATTTCTGTTCATGAAAATACGTAGATATTCCTTTATTATTTGTGCAAGTCTAAGCCTCATCATGGACCACACTATATTAGGTAATGTGATGCTTAATGGTGACACACAACTCGATAGGGTCTGGAATGACCTAGGAAACAAATATCTGGACACTTCTTTGAGGGATTTTCTAAGTTGGGAGTTTGGAGGTAGATCTAGTTCTGCAGAGCCATCAATCCTCTGGCTAAATTCCTGGATGGAATAAAATGTGAAAAGCAAATTGAGAACTGGTATCCATCTCTCTTTTTATGTGACTCTCAAGGCTATGTGATTGGGGGCATCAACCTCCTGATTCCATGATGCTTTGACATGACCTTAAACTGCAAGCCAAATAAACTGTCCAACCTTAAGTTGCTTTTGTCATTTTTTGTCAGAATGATGAGAAAATTAACGAAGACAAGTAATTCAATAGCATCCTAAATTTACTAATAAAAACCATATAGGCCACCATAGAGGCCACATCACATTTAAATGGAGTAAAATTCTGAAGACACATTTTCACATTGCTGTCACATGAATAATTACAATGCTTGATGGCAACGATGGGAAATACTGCAAATTGTGGGTGGCTATAAACTCAAGCTGATAACCCAGATTTAGAAAATTATAACACATGGAATAAGTATTTTTTTCTAACACAGGTGATGAGACACACTTAGAATTTTCAGCATTGCATATTCCCATTGGCCTTGGCAAAGAAGCAGCAGGTGGCAAGTGAGCTTCTGGACTTCAGACCACAAGGAAGCAAACGATGGGAAATACTGCAAATTGTGGGTGGCTATAAACTCAAGCTGATAACCCAGGTTTAGAAAATTATAACACATGGAATAAGTATTTTTTTCTAACACAGGTGATGAGACACACTTAGAATTTTCAGCATTGCATATTCCCATTGGCCTTGGCAAAGAAGCAGCAGGTGGCAAGTGAGCTTCTGGACTTCAGACCACAAGGAAGCAAGCACTGGTGGGTGAATCTCAGAAAGGCAAGGCCCCCTTACCTGCAGTTTGTGGCGCATGCCTTTAATCCCAGCACCCTGGAGGCAGAGGCAGAAGGATCTCTGTGGGTTCGAGGCCAGCCTGGTCTACAGATAGAGTGCCAGGATATGCTCCAAAGATACACCCAAGAACCCTGTCTAGAGAAATAAAAAGAAAAAAGAGAGAGGAAGGAAGGAAGGAAGGAAGGAAGGAAGGAAGGAAGCATAGTAAACCCCAATGCCTTCAGGTTTAGAATATGTCTTAATAACGCTATGGCTTTACATGTCTGCCACTATCTTTTTTCCCTGGTAACTAGCATGGTGTGAATGGGTGGGAGGGACCCCCACTGCCTTTAATCTATGATGATTATCTCATTGAAATATCTCATTCCACTGGGTATTTTCACCTATGGATTATTATAAAAAAAAGATTTCCTCTTAAGCTCTACTGTTTAATTGAAGAAACAAGTTTATAAAATGGTAGTGTTAATTTAAATACAATTTAATGACTAAGGGTTTTTAACAAGTGTACTAAGGGATTAACATAGTGGTTAGTTTAGAGGGAAAATTAATACAAGTAAAGGCGAGAAGACGTGAAGGCCCCACCCTGATAAAGCAGGGGCTGCAAAGGACAGAAAATAAGAACAAGGAAGTGTAACAGATCTGGGACCTAGGTGTTTCTCCTTAGGAGCCACATAGAAAAAAATTGAGTTCCAGAGGCTAGGCTTGCTCAAGTTCTTTGAGTCTTAGTGTTAGGAGATGTGTTCACAGGTTTAATGTTAATCATAGTTAAACCAAAGCTTTAAATAATGACTTAAGGACAGGTACAGATATTTTTGTTAATGGCTTTGAAGTAGGACATCTTGGGGAAATAATGGAGAGTTTAGAAAGACACAATTTTAATAGTTTGAAAATGCACACATTGAGGTCAGGAAAGAAATGTAATGGCTGCCTGGCTGCTGCTAATCATGTAGCTTTCTTACTAGGATGGGTTGTGATCAAAGATAAGGAGTAATTCCTGTGCACATTTCTACCCTCAGCCTCCTGATGTGCCTTATATAAAAAACTGTTGATGAATAGGTATTACCCCAAGGACTTAAAGTAGAAATGACTGATATTTTTCATTTATATTCTTTTAAGTTTTTTAATGAGATTACCTTTTGAGATAAATAAAACAATGGTTGATCCTTTCTTTGTAAAAAAAAAGAAATGCAGCCTGATGGTAAAAGAACTGGCTGAGAAAAATACCTTGCTTGCTTCCACTTTGTTAATCTAAAATAAATATTTGACATGAATGTGTGTGGTTTCTTGGGGACAATTGGTTTTTTACCTGTAATTGTAAAAAGTTTAATCATGTAAGGAAAATGAGAAACATGTTGCTTTTACCTGTATTCATTACAATTATTCATGTGAAAATTAGAATGTAACCATGTTTTAATTTGTATATTCCTTGAAAGATTTTTCTGGGATATGTATGTTGAAAAGGAAAAATATAGAAAGAGAGATGATAGAGAGACACTAAAGGGGTGTGTGTGTGTGTGTGTGTGTGTGTGTGTGTGTGTGTGTGTGTGTGTGTTTTTTT